TTTACTTATATTTAGAAAGTAATTTGAAAAAAAAATAAAAAATGTTCGAAATCCATATATAACAAATTATGCAAATACTAAAATCCATATTTCAACTGTGAATTAAGCAACATTTTAATACGAAAGTGTATATGAGAAGATTCACTAAAATTCAGTAAATTTGATCTTATTTTTAATATTGTAAATAGAATATAATATCTAGAACAAAATTTAAAAGTTATTTGAAAAAAGCAAAAATTGTCTAAAACCATATATTACAAATTGCAAATACTGAAGTCCGTATTTCAACTGTGAATTAATCAAAATTTTAATACTAAAGTGTATATGAAAGTTTTTACTATATTTTAGTAAATTTTATCTTATTTTCAACAATGTGAAAAACTTGTTGTGTCCTGAGTAAAAATTGAAAATTATTTTAAAAAAAGTAGAAAATGCTCAGAATCTATATATAACAAATTAAGGAAATACTAAAGTCCGCATTTCAATTACCAATTAATCAAAATTTTATTACTAAAGTGTATATAAAAGTTGCTCTTAAATTTTTGTAAATTTTATGTAGTTTTCAATAATGTAAAAAAATGGTGGTGTCTAGAATAGAAATTAAAAATATTTCGAAAAAAAACTACAAAATGGCTCAAAGCCATTTAATGCAAATCATCAAAATACTAAAGTCTACATTTCAACTAAGAATTATTAAAAATTTTATACTCATGGGCATATGAGTAAATTTACTAAAGTTTAGTAAATTTCATCTGGTTTTTACTAACGCAAAAAACAGAATGGCTAGAATTAAATTTTTAAGTTTTGTGTTTTAACAATTATATATATGAACAATTTTATAAAAATTTTGATGTAAACAAGTATTGATAATTTCTGGTTAAAATGCACTCTTTAATTATATTTTTTACAAGTGGCAATTTTTATGTGCTCTTATAACATGATACAATATATTTTTTAAATATACTTAAATGCAGGCAAATTATTTGTATAGATAAATACAAGTGCATAAATATGAACACTCAATCCTATCATTTTTAAAGAGCACTGCAATGACCATCAACATATCCCCTTGCACAAATAACTTATTTTGTAATTACTATAACTTACCCTACTGGAAGTTGAAAAGTCACGATTAAAAACTTTAAAATTCAGATATATATTACACTAAAATTAACAAGTTTATTATAGATAAAATATTTTTCTTCTAATAATGTGTTTCTCTTTCTCTAGTATTATAACCTTTCCTCTGGTGCGTCCTTCTGTCTGTTTTCCCATTTTGTGCCATATTGCAGTCCGGAGTGTTGGGATTTTTTAAATCTACTCCCATGTTACTACATCCGTTTCCAGATAAGGCGAAACATTCTGGGTAAACACGTTGACGACGAGAGGGTTGTTGTTACCAGAGAAAAATGCGATAAAACTGAAGGAATTGATCTCTGTCGGGATCGAGGAAATTTAGTTAAAGGGCACAACTAGTGTGAAATTTTCAAAACATCAAATTTTCAATTTTTCCATATTTCGATAGGTTATACTTTTAAAAATAACATACCAAAATTTTAAATCGATATCTTAAATAGTTTTTGAGTCACAGCCATTTAAAGACTGTATATATAGTATATAGTATAACGATTATTTTATCTTTAAACGCGTTTTTCTCGAAACTGCATTTTCCGAATTTGCTGCAGCATTTACTCAAAAACAAATGATCCGATCACTACCTAATTTTTATTTTACATGTTCTATATATAGTTCTCCGTGAAATGAACTATCGATTTTTTGATCGGATCAAAAATCGAATTTTGGCAGTCCAAAAACGACCAAAATTTTGGGTAAAATTCGACTTTTTTTTAAAAAAACGCCGTCATTTTGTCAATTTTTTTTTCTTTATCGTAGTTCATTTTACAGACAATATTATCTAGTTTAACGAGAATTTTTTTTTTAATTTCATCCACGTAGAAGGCCAGAATCACTGCAGCAGTGAAGGGCCTTTTTTTGTCGCGCCGTTGGAGATCGACGATAACTTAAAAAATATTAAATTTTTTTTGTCAGAAATTTTACTATGTATTCTTAAAACATGTATAAATATATTCCTAAAATTTTGAAATGATTGATAAAGTAGTTTTTTTAATACAAATTCCCAAAAATCACCTTTTTTTAGGCGGTTACACTAGTTGTGCCTCTTAAGCAATATTTCTGCTAAGAAAAATAGTTTAATATTAAATGACATCTTGTAATAGTATCCTGTTCAGTTATTCCTAGAAATAATTTGAAAGTTATTTGAATATCTAAATCATTTCGGTGTAATTTTTTGTATATTATTTATATTATTTGCACATTTGATTATTTCATATAAATATAAATAAATAACATATACCAATCATAATTATAATTAGCAGATAACGCTAAAGTCAAAGATCAATTTATCGCTATCTGTATACGTAACCGTATAAATGCAATTCAAGATCATTTTATGCTTTAGTACACATGAAAAAATATAATTATCAAATGTTTTGTGAAAATTCGGTAAATATGTATAAAGTGTCAACTTTTTTATTGGTTTTAATCACCTTGGCAAGTGGGTTACCACAAATGCCTTGCTGCAATAATCCTTGTGAACAAATTGTGCAGCAGCCTTGTCCTGTGTGTCCACAAAATCCTGAACCTATAACGGATATCTGCAGTCAGGTAAAAACAAAAAAAAAAAGTTTTTTGTGCATGGTAAATTTTTTGGGTCATTTTCCAGATTCGATGTCCTCCAGGTTACCAATGTCAAAGAGGTCATGCAAACCAATAGATCAAATTATGCAACCTTGTCCTGTGTGTCCTCAAAATCCTGAACCTATAACAGATATCTGCAGTCAGGTAATAACCAAAAATTTTCGTTTTTGTGCCTTGTAAAATTTCTGGGTTATTTTCCAGATTCGATGTCCTCCTGGTTACCAATGTCTTAAAGGTGCCTGCAAACCAATAGATCCTTGTTCCACATAGATTGTCCTGATGGCCAGGAATGCAGATTAGGAAAATGTGTCGATGTCGACCTTTGCGAAAATATAGTTTGTCCAAGTGGTCAAACTTGTTATCTAGGGCAATGCACTTTTTGTGAGCCTCCTCACCAATGCAATTCTTGTACAAATATAAAATGTCCGAAAGACTATTTTTGTTCTTTTGGTAAATGCGTTCCTGAAGATTCTTGCAGACATGTTATTTGTCCCAAGGGACATCGGTGTGTTGATGGCCATTGTAGTGCTCTTTAAAAGTGATAAAATATACTAATAAATATTCATATTTATCAAATATACTAATAAATATTGTATTTATCTATATAAATAATCTGCCTGCATTTACATGTATTTAAAGAAATATATTGTATTATGTTATAAGAGCATATAACAAATTTCCCTTGGTAAAAATTTGTTAAAATTTGTGAAAATTATAATAAAGCCAAGCTTCATCACTATTTGTTTACGTCAAAATATTTATAAAATTTTTCTAATATATAATTATGAATAAAACTTGTTGATACATTGTTCTAGTATTTTATTCAGCAATATGAAAGTTTTAAGCTTTTTTTATATTATTGAGAATATCTTAGAAAATTTGCTCGGGCGACTTTGTTTTATATACATTAATGAAAACTATTACTAAAATCTGAAATAAACATTTATATACTCGTGGATATTAAAATTTTGAACAATTCTTAGTTGAAACAGTTTCGTATTTTTATAGGTTACAATACATGGGTTTGGTACATTTTTAAATTACTTTCAAATTTTATTCTGGACACTACAAATTTTTTGCGTTAATAATATCTAGATAAAACTTACTAAATTTTAGTAAATTTTCTCATATACCCATGAGTATTAAAAACTTGAATATTTCGCAGTTGAAATGCAGACTTTAGTATTTTGACGATTTGCATTAACTGGCTTTGGACCATTTTGTACTTTTCTTCCAAATACTTTTAATTTTTATTCTAGACACTATTATTTTTTTACGTTATTGAACACTAGATATTTTTTTTCTCTTTATTGAATTACAATCTGTCTTCACAAAAAGGAAGACATTCAGTAATTTTGATGAAATATTAAACATTAGATCTAAAAGGTTACCCAGTATTAAGCATTTTCAATTTTGATATATTGAATTTAAAATTTGTGATTATATAGAGTAAACTTAAAAATAAAATGATCTATGAGGTAATGAGTATAAACTGTGAATTACAACAACAAATAAAAAAAGACATAACTAAACTAGATAAAATGCACTAAAATCGAGTAAAAATTTTAATATACGCTTTGGTATTAAAATGTTAAAATGCGGACTTTAGTCTTCGCATAATTTGTAATGTATCATTTTAAACCATTTTTTACGTTTCTTCAAATAAATTTTAATTTTTATTTCAGACACTACTATTTTTTCACATTGTAGAAAACTAGATAAAATTTACTAAAATATAGTAACAACTTTCCGTATACACTTTGGTATTAATTCACAGTTGAAATACGGACTTTAGTATTTACATAATTCTGAACATTTTTTACTTTTCTTTGAATAACTATTATAATTCATATCGTACATTACACTTTTATTACATTACTGAAAACTAGATAAAATTTACTAAATTATAATAAAAATTATCGTATACACTTTGGTATTAAAATTTTGTATGATTCGTAGTTGAAATGCGGACTTTAGTGTTTCTATAGTTTGCATTACATGCACTCAGAACATTTTAACATTTCTTCAAATAGTTCTTAATTTTTATTCCAAACATTTTTATATATGTATATATAATATATGTATAAATATCTACAAGAATATATATTTCGAGACTTTCACATTATCAAAAATTTTGCAACCAACTGGAACCATATCATGCTAATTTCTACTAATTGCATTAAATTTATCAAAGATAAAACGCACCAATTTGCCAAAGGTTATACAGCTCGCCATATAAATACAAGATGACTTTATTGCACACATCAGTACCATAAATAAACATGTATAAACAAATATTAATTTTATTAATAATTACTGTGTCATTTATCAATGCACGTCCTTGCTGTTTACCATCATGTGATCCTTGTTCAAGGGTAAATTCTTGTTGTCCTAATCGAGGAAATAATCCTTGTACCCAGAATAATAGTGGTACTGGAGGTACAATTGATATTCAGGATCCTTGTGAGGATACAAATTGTCCTGATGGATACAAATGTGAAGATGGAAGTTGCCTAATTTGTGGACCTGATGAAGAATGCAAATCCTGCGAAAAAGTTTATTGTCCTTTATATTTTAAGTGTCGGAGTGGTGTGTGCGTTCCTGACGAATCTTGCAAGGATGTTCTATGTCCTAATAATTCGTATTGTAAAGATGGAAAATGTATTAGAGTTAAATGATAAATTTCATATTAATATAATATATTTATATAACAATTTTTTTGGAAATAAACATCAGCTCTCCTACTTGAGTTTTCGTTCTGCGAAGAAGTTGAAAAAACGTGTGGAATTTGTAGTAATATATCATAGCGCCAGCAAATATAATATCTCAGAGAATGATTTTTTCTTTCTTTGGAGTTTTACTGTATTATATATATATATATATATATATATATATATATATATATCTGTGCAAACAACAAAGTACAACACACATATGAATTTGCATATGGGAAATGTAGAGTACATCGTTCTATACATTTTACAAGAGCGCGGACGCTCTTCTAGGGTTGTTTAATAAACAAAATATTCTTGAATATTATTTTAAAATGAAAGACATAAATCTAGCTGAAAAATGGAATTTTAAAATTCTGCAAGTCAGCATAAGTTGACCTAGAAAAATCCTATAACTTTGTACCTTGTAGAATTATGTATCATCTACAAAT